ACTTGATGAAATGAAGGAAAATGTAGATTTTTCATTGTACGAAATTCAAGAAAAACAATATGTTAATCTTGTCAAATCTTTCTTAACTTACTATTAGAAGAATTTTGTATTGATTCATCTTCATTATTTTGTTGTACATGTATTGTATCTGTAACATCAAATTTTTCTTGTTTAATACTATCTAATATATATTGACAATCAGTTGATGAATCAATTTCTACTGTTGAACAATTTGGTGGTACATTGGAAAGTATTGTTTTTAAACGTTCATCAATACGTAATGATTCAAATGAAGCTGATTTTTTACATAATGGACATGTCCATTGTAATCGTCGTTCATTCATTAATAAAAATGCTTTTAAATCAAAACATGTTAAATGTGAACAATATGATGATTTAGCTGGTACAATAATTAATGATTGTGTTATTGGACATAATAATGAAACACGATGACGTGTTGCCATTAAACCTATATCTTCAATTTCAATTTCAATATCACTATCATTATCTGTTTTATTTGAATATGGTTCACGTTTAATTATTAAATCAAATAATGTATCTAATGATACACAATGTACTAATTGTATTGATAATGTATAAGATTTAGGTAAATTTTTAAATGACATTGTTGTTGGTGATTGTAACCATAGATAATTTAATGTATTAGTTGTATTTGCTTTAAGTATTATTTTATCTGTTATATCAGTTGGAAATGATATTGAATGTGCTTGTGAACCAACTTGTTTTGATATATTATTATTAATTACTGGTTGATTCTAAGACAAAAAAAAAAAAACGTTTGTTCTTTTTTTAGAATGCAAAAAATTTTTGATTTCTTACATTGCATTGAACAAATAAATAAGGTGGTAAAACATCATTATGTCTTTCATAAGTAATTGTCGGTGCAATACGAAGAAAAATTCGAGCAATATTTTTTCGTATTAAATCAATATCAGTTTCATTTAATATAAAACGCATTGGAGAAAATGTATGCCAATCAATAGGCATATTTGAACATTCAATAGTACGCATTTTTTCAAAAAAAGGTAAATTTATAAATTGTATATGATTAGCTTGTGGTAAAACTTCAATTGGTGGAGTTTTAGGTAAAACAATAGGATGATTTTTAGAGGACGATGATGATGATGATGATACATGATTTGATCGAGATGGACGTGTACGACTATTATTTATTTGTTGAATTTTATTAGCTAATTGTGGAGTAAAATTTGATGCAATTAAAGATTTGCAACGTTGAAGTAAATCACGTTTATGTCCTTGACGAGATAAATTAGCAAAATCAAGTACAGCCTAAAAAGATATATAGAAAAATTATTTTTTATTTGATTTATAATATGACAAACTTGTAAATCTGACACACGATAATTTTTGATTGATTCAAGTGCATTAGATTTTGCATGAGAACTTGTTGATGAACTCATATTTAATTAATTTCAAGCATAGATAAAAAAAACAAAAAATGAACAAAATAATTATTCTTCTAGAACGAATAAAAAAAATATGAATGAATGATGACTTGTCAATAATTTCCTGATGTTTTATTTTGGGAATAAAGTTTTCTTTTTTTTTCTCTTTCTTGGAAAATGTTATAAATACATGATCAATTAGCTATTCGCTACTGGTAATAAGTTGATAAACTTTGATTGTAGCGATTATTTTGATTGTTTTTCCCATTTTGTTTTATTTCGAAAGAAAATATTCTCGATGAAGATTTTTAGAAAAAAATATTCAAACTTCTTTGTTCTTCAATAAAGTATAAAATTATGGATTTGTATATTAAGTGTTATAGATATACCGTATTCTAGTGCTATCTATCGTATTGAATATTCATATGCATTTTGATCGTTCTGTGATTGATATATAGTTATACATTGATAAAAGATTCTGTCAAAAGTATTCTTAAGCTTCCAAATTAGTTGTGGATTTCTCCAGTACTAAAAATAGGATATTGACACAGATGCTGAGCCGAACTTGAGTCTTAGAGCGATTCATTTACATTTATGAGTTGTCTATAGTAAGTAAGACAAGAAAAAGATGAAGCAATAGGTGCATGTGTATGTTAAGGACAAAGTTGGACGACATTTAGAGTTTGACCATATACAACCATTTTTTTTTTCGTGTTTCACTAGGTATCGTTCATATCAAATACTTATATAAATTAATTTGTTAATATAGATTACTTAGAAAATATATTTTCTGTTGAATATTTAGTTGATTACAAATCAATACCTACAGAAGAATTAAAATAAGTTATTGTAGATGATCTAAGAGATATTACTATCATTAAAGTATCTAAACTTTTACAATCGTAGATTGACACACAGATAGATAAGCAACTATAAAAGAAAACATGCCAGAAAGCAATATTTATGCAACAAAAAAAAAACAAGAATTTTTCGTTCAACTGTACATCTTTCTAAACTAGACCTGGGCAAAAATACAGGTTCATACATTCGAATAAGATGAACTAAAAACTATTCGATATAAAAGGTACTTTGTAAAATGAAAAAAACTTTTTATTTGTTCAAACTCTAACTCTTCGACTTCATTCATTTACTTCTAGTTCAAATCTAATTTCCTTCGGACAAGTGTGATATTACGTTCTCATGTGATTCAAATCGAACAAAAGTCATCGATATAATTTTCGCTTCACCGGTAATGGTTTGACACGTAAACGGTTAATTACCCGTTGACTGTGATATATCGATCATTACTTTCAAAGCGGGAATCTATTGCTGATATATCGTCAGTTCTTATGAGTTTTGTCATATATTAACAGTAGTACCAACAAACGTGCAACATGGATTATATCAAACTTCGGATCTCTTAAGTATACAATGGACAATATAACTCTTCAGATTTTGTATTCATCTACAAATGTTTTTTTTCTTCTCATTGAGATGATTTATGTATGTTTATATTAATCTTCAAGAGTAAGACATCTTTTTCTCGTTTCTAAAAATATTGAGGATTAATCGTTATTGAGACATAAAATCTTCTTTTGAAAGAAGATTTTTCTAGCAATAGGATAATACTCTTATGAATAATTGCAAAAATACTGTATGAATATATTCATGGGGTTAAAAGGTTAAATTTTCAAAAAAATTCATTTTAATTACATTTATTTGTATTAGAAAGAAAGATATTTGCTTTTTTTTCTTCGTTTATTGATAAAGTTACGTAAAAATATGCAAATCGATTTAGATTTGAGAAGTAGTTGTGCTATATCAATGTTGAATAATTTATTTAAAAATACATTCTGCATATTTTAGCACAGTTTAAAATCAATAAAAGTTAACTATTGAAAGTTATTTGTAAAGCTTCTTTTGTAATATTCGAAATTTGTCCATGTCGTCCATATTTAATCCATCTCAATGACAAAAATATATTAGGATGTTCATGTCACTGACAGCAGATATTACTATAGAGAAATACAAAATCATAATATGAATCAAACTCAACCATTAGATATTCATTAACAGTTAAGAAAACAAATAATTAATCAGAATAAATTGGATATAGTATTTATTTCTAACAAAAAAGAGAAATTTTGACATACAATCCTTTATGTAACAAACTCTAATGAGATCATTTTGTCTTGTTCTAATATGCTTTCACTCAATGTTTATCACGCATGTTTCATTAGAGTCTCTAGAAAAGGTCATTTTCTAATAGTAATGGATTTGCTGACACTTAAAGAAAATTTTCTATGATCTTTTAACACATTATTATCATTATTATTAAACAAACAAGGATAATAATAACAATTGTAAATAATTATTTTAGACATTATAAATAATTAAATCATATATAAGAATATAAATTTCGAAAAATTGATTTTTATCACATACCATATTCTTTTTTTTTTCTGTGTCAACTAGTTGATTAGTTTTACTGATTCTGATCAATAATTATTCCATCCATTTTAATGATTTGAAGTGTTTTTCTTTCTCTATTGTTACTAGAACT